CCCACTTCTTCAGATGCATATGCATCTGAAGAAGTGGGCTGTAGTCCACGAAAGCTTATGCTCTAATAATGAATCCGAAGAAGTGGGCTGTAGTCCACGAAAGCTTATGCTCTAATAAATGTGTTAGTCTCTAAGGTGCCACAAGTACTCCTGTTCTTTTTGTGGATACAGACTAACACGGCTGCTACTCTGAAACCTGTCAAATTCAGAAAGACACTATTTGCACGTCCATATTTACCTGCAATGGTACCTGTGCATGCAGTTCTGCTGCTCTCTAACGAGTGTTCCTCAATCTCCATGTGCAAACACCCCTTTACACAGGTAAATAAAGGCTCTGGGGTGCCCAGTGGGTGTGAACACAATTTGTAGAACTCGCCTGTTGCTCTCCAGACTAAAGGTTTGACAGATGCACAAAGGAAGGGAAGGACAGAGAAGAAACAACCAACCAACTTTCCTCTTCTGCCCCTTGTGGTCCCCTGCACAGAAGCCAGGCATAACGGCTCTCCTATTCCTGAGTACCTCTGCTCCCACCAGCACCCCTCAGGGCTGAAGCCACAACTAAAGAGGCAGAGCTGGCCAGCCGAAGAGGAGAAAGCTTGCTGCATCTTCCAAAAGGTGGTGCCGGGGTAATGCTCCCTATAGGTATTGGGAGCTCTTGCTTGCAATCTGTACCCAGTCAGGGTACAAAAGCCTCGCTGTCACCCATACTTATGGTGTGACTCTAGTGGCTGCATGACAGATATTAGGAGACTGCCACTGACTTTAAACTAATCTAGCTGTGTCCTTTAGCTCCCGCGAGTGACTTGTGCTTTTTCAGACCCATAGGGCATGAGTTCAATACCTGCACCCCACCCAGGACTGTTGCATTGCAGAAGCAATTCAAATACATGCCTAGTGGATGCTAATCGATCAATATATTTATACAGTCAGGAAAACAGCCTCAGCACAAGGTTAGACCCACATACATTCTACCCGGCTTACGTCCTGCCAGCTACCTTTTACTTCCTCCCAAGTCACCTGTCCCATCCATGTCAGCGGCTATTTGCTAAACAACCACTATTGGGCTGTCAAAGCTTAGGAACAAGAACGCGAAGTTTCTGTGAAACAAAATTTTCTGTGAAACTGTGAAATTCACTGAATTTTCTTTTAAACAATTTTTTTCATCCTTTCAACTCTTATTTTATATTATACTAGTAGCAACTGTGGCAATTGGGCCAAGTAATTCAGCATCTGTGCCCTTTCCCTCGTGCAGCCAATGGCACAGTTGCATTCAAATTAGCTGTAGAATAATCATGGTGATTGGCCATCATCATCTCTGATATCACAATGGCCTAGGACTCTTGGCAGGACGTAGACACATGCCTTGCTGTCCCAGGGTGTAATTTGTAAAGTCATAATTTCTGAGAACAGAAAATTTGGACTGTAGCCACGAACAAACCCCAGCGAGGGTTGAACTGGATGACATTCAGCAATGCCCCTCTGCCATGTACATTGGCCAAACCGAACAGTCTCTACGCAAAAGAAGAAATGGACACAAATCTGACATCAGGAATCATAACATTCAAAAACCAGTAGGAGAACACTTCAACCTCTCTAATCACTCAGTAACAGACTTGAAGGTGGCAATTTTGCAACAAAAAAAACAACAACGTCAAAAACAGACTCCAAAGAGAGACTGCTGAACTTGAATTAATATGCAAATTAGATACAATTAACTTAGGTTTGAACAGAGACTGGGAATGGTTGGGTCATTACACTAATTGAATCTATTTCCCCATGTTAAGTATCCTCACACCTTCTATGGGTCATCTCAATTATCACTTCAAAAGGTTTTTTTTTCCCCCTCCTGCTATTGATAGCTCATCTCAATTGATTGGCCTCTTACAGTTGGTCTGGCTACTTCCACCTCTTCATGTTCTCTGTATGTATAAATATCTTCTCTCTGTGTGTTCCATTCTATGCATCCGATGAAGTGGGCTGTAGCCCATGAAAGCTTGTGCTCAAATAAATTAGTCTCTAAGGTGCCACAAGTACTCCCATTCTGACCAAAAAGAACTCAGCCTTGCATGTAGCTGTCTCCATCACTGCACAGATACTCCACAGATATCCAGGCTTTAGCGTGAAAACAGACCATCCTGGAGCCTTATGATATAGATTGTGGGTGCTAATGCTAGTGCAAAATTAAAGTCAAAACAAAAGAGGCAAAATGAAAGGAAAAATACAAAGCAAAACATTTCAACCTTAGCAAAATATCAAGAATCTCAACGAAATCGATACATTCCCACGGGACATTTCAATTCAGTCCTAGCAGTTTTTTCCAATGGGAAAATGGTCCCTTGGAAAAATTTTGATCTGCTCCTCATAATAATCAGCCGTATCGCTGAGTTTGCAGATACACTAATAAAGCACGTCTGAGTAGGCTACAGCCTCATTTGTGAATTAACAGAGGAATTTCAGTAACAATGTTCCTTTGGGCTTCTTTGCCTGGTAACTAGAACTGAAAGGACTCAAAAACAGAGCAGTATTTTACCGATTTAAGCTAAATTCAAGGAGGGCCTTCTTAGTCCTCAATAAAAGGGTCCCCAGGCAGACTTGCAGCAAGGTGTGAATGACAACGAATATCCTTATTTCTGTGCCAGTTCCTGTGTAGATAGCCCCTGGGGTGTTAACTGAAGTGGTCAGGGCTCGAGCAGCAGGGCTGTAACTTCACTTTCAGGACCAGATTGTCTCTCTCAGGCTCAGAGCTACACTGGGTGAGCTGCAGAGCTGACTGCCCCAGGGGGGTGGGGTGGGGGGCACCAAGACGGGCGTAATGGGGTCGTGTTGCTTAAGGTTTGGTAACATGGACACGGGTTCTCCAGGACCCAACTGACCAACCCATTTCCCACAATGGGGCTGGGGGGGGGGAAATACAGAGATGAAAGAAGGAACCACAACCTGACACCCCACGAGGAAGAGCTGCTACCGGCTCTTTAATCAACAGAAACAAACTGACAGGGACTTTCTGCTTCATCCACAGGGAACTCCCAGAATCAAGTCAGGGTGCAGAGAGCAACTGTGGAACGTTAATAAAGAATAAGACTGATTTTGACGTCTGCAGCACTGAATTAAAATGGCTCTGCCAGAAAGCAGCTTTCCAGCTATAGACAGCGGCACGACTGATCGGGACAGGAAAAGGCCTTCAGTGTCTGAAACATCTACAGTATTTTCAGCTTTACTTATAAATGTCATGTCAGAAGCTGGGGCCAGAGCCCTGCTGGCGTGACTCAGCCATAGCTCCACCGGAGACAAGGGGGCCAGACCCCCAGCTGGTGGACATCTGCGCCTTTGATGTCAACCGTCAATAGTTTTATCGTCCACTAAAGAAAAGCAAATCCACCCACTGGGCCCTAATTGCCAGAGGTTTTCCCCACTCCAGCCCCCCAGGAATAAAGAGGACACACCCCTCCCCCCAGGCCTGGCAGAGCTGGGGAGCTAGTGCCCCCGCAACGGAAATATTGCAACCTTGCACAATGGGCGCACAGCTTGGGGGTGGCGGGCAAGAGTGGGACCAAGGAGGCTGGAACGGGCCTGGGAGCAGGTAGGGACCAACCCTCCCAGCCTGGAGCCCCTCCCCCCCAGGCTAAACCCCTCCCCCCAAATGCTAAGTCTCAGAACCTCCCTTCACGATTCCTTCCTGTCTCCCTGCCCCCATTCCCAGGGAACCTCCACTTCCACCCCCACTTCGCTCCCCTTTAACCAGCTTCCTTTAATATGCTGCCCCAACTAGCCATGTGACCAGTTAACCCTTTACAGGCTGCAGCGCCTTTTCCTTCCTGCAGACCCCGTCTGTGTGTCCTGGCTGGATGCGAAGCACGGTCACTTCTATGGGGAAATAAATGTTTGTGAAAACATTGTGTTGCTTTCCAGATTTGTATTTATTTACTGTTAATATCGTGAAGTGGGATAGAGGCCCTGAGACCAGGGCCCCATTGTGCCAGGTGCTACACAGAGACACAGCGAGAGACAGTCCCTGCCCCAGCTGAGATCAGGTTCCCGTTGTGCCGGGCGCTGCACAGACACACAGGGAGAGACAGTCCCTGCCCCAGCTGAGATCAGGTTCCCGTTGTGCCAGGCGCTGCACAGACACACAGGAAGAGACAGTCCCTGCCCCAGCTGAGATCAGGGCCTAGGATTGCCAACTCTGACTGAAGATATTCCGGGAGATTTTTCCCCCCAACATGACAGGATATTTTAAGAAAATGACATCACATTAAAATCTCCGGCATTGCTTTC